AATGATGATTTAGGCACCCTCAGCATGTACATGTGTGTCTACGTTTTATGGCGAGCCACCACGAAGACAAGTTCATCTTTGTTCCATACGACTAAAAAATAAGTAAGAGAACTTTTTGGCGAGTGACTTGTTAAAAAACTGTAAAGGATCCTTTTATACATAACTCCCAAAAAAGTAAATAGCAGCACATAACTGATAGTGATTTAGCAAACAAGCAAACTGACAGAAACACATTTGCTGAGTATTTCTATGTCTCTCAGACATCAATGCTTGCAAATAAAAGCAAACTGGCACAATTTTACTACCTTGAACAATTATGTAGGTACCAGTATGTACAGAAATCAGTAGTCTCAAGGTACATGCAATCTTATCCTTTTGAACTCAAGGTATGTCATTGTTCAATAGTGATAACACTCTGGCTTGGGCAAAATCTAGGAAAGTCATCCTGGGAGAAACGAAGCACCTGAGTTGATCTCAGTGCCAACAATGTCATAGCTCACCAAGATTTCTTTATCCTTCTGCATGCATACTCTCTCTGAGTCAGACAACTTTGCCTTGGAGTCATTGACAATGCCCTCAAGGTTTATCCTCTGCTTCTCAGAATCCTGAAAGGGAGATTGAAGAAAAGATTTCATTCGCATCATCTTCTTTAGCAGGATTTCTGATGGGATATAGCTTGCTTTAAATAGCTGGATCTTTATTGTTCTACAGGTAGTAAACCCCCAAACCAGGAGCACAAACCAGTTAAACTCTGGTACTCTTCCAGCAGACTTAGAGGACAGCCGAGGTAAGCCAAGCTGAATGCCATGGTTGCATGTGCATGGTGGCCATACCAAGAACCTACTGGTGATACCCAACTAAGAATATAAAATACCCACTTCAAGTTGGTGCGTCATCCCTTCAGGATAAAGTTGCTGAATAACAAAGTGTCAGTATGATTACATGAAATAACATTTCCCAGAGTAGGGACCGGCGGGGGGGGTTACTTACCCTGAGCCTGCCTTCCATAGCAGACATCTGTGTACTCTTTTCACTATCTAGACGATACACCTCCTGTAGCTGTTTCTTGACTGTCTCATTCTCCTTCATCAATGATTGGAGTCGCTCCATCGTCTTGTCTCCCTCACGGGCCGAGTTCTGGAGGCGAGACTCTGCCTTACGAAGCTCCTCAGAGACTTCACTCAGACGCTTGGAGAGGGCTGTTTCATTCTCACGCTGGAAAAAATTTGGGTGAAAAACCAAAGGCAAATGTGCATTACCACAAATGTTTCTCAAAATTCTACAAGGTACTGCAAGATTTTCTGGGATTGAGGAAGGTTAGCCTGGCAGCTACTCTTACTTTAGACAAGACTTCACACCCCTTAAATTGAAGAACAAATCTCACATTCTGAAACAGTGCTTTGTGTTCAGTCTGGGTCATAAAGTGCCTACCATACTACCATACCTGTCCAGCTTGCTCAGCTTCATACACCTTAATCTGCTGCTCATATTGAGCCAGTTTGGATTCCAGGTTACGTCGTTGATCTTCACCTTGCCTTGCACGACCCTCGTTGGCCGTAATCTGGTTTTTCAACTTCTGGATTTCATTCTGAAAACTGAGGGGACAAGAGAGACGCATCGAGATATATCTTCAATGTATGGTTTGTTAAAGACCACCCCTGAATATGTATGTATATTGCGTTTCTTATCGGTCAGAACTCTTATTTAAAGGCTGATTGTTGAACATCAATGCCTCTAATTTACAAATAAAAGTCAAATATTACTCTTATCTAACAGCATAAGGTCATGCAGTGGCCGTTAACCCTAACCCACTAGGGCGCATGTAAAATCACATTGAAATCAGGGGATTTGGGACTATTAGAGCTGTCTAAACTGTATTAACAGTTCCACATCTGACAATGCCACCACAGAAAGTACATCTTACTGTAGAAATGTAACGCTACAAGACATGTCATTTGGATATCAGTGTGAAGATGTCACAACATGTAAGAATGTACCACTTCATTTTTGGTGTCAAATTCTTTTGTAAGTCACTCAGCTTTGCAATTCACTGATCACTGTATTTTTAGTGACAAAATTCTTGTATTGCCTAAATTACTTTTTTTTTTCCTGCAAAATATTAGATCTGTTGAACATTGTTGCTTGTTTGGTACACATGAATGACTTTTAACAAACTTATTTTCCCTCAGGTAAGTACTGCAGTGTAATGGGTCTACTACTTACTGCTGTGCATTCCGTCCTGCTTCTCCTTTCAACTGTGCATTCTCATCTCGGAGTTGTTTAAGAGCTTCTACCCCGGTGTTATCATTTCTGGCCTCTAGTTGCTTGATGCGAGTTTGCAGATTCTGAGTCTCACGGGTGTGAACATCATGGTTCTGAAAAATTTATTCAAATCTCTATTACTATTTTTACCAGCATAATGAATGTCTCTTCTAATATAAAGTAAGTCTTGTATGACCAGTAATGTTAGACTGAATGGCTTAGTTATAGTGAAATCTCTATACTGAGGAATTTGAAGTAGGTAAATTTGTTTTGCAATTGTAACTTCTGACTTTATTTAAACCAATCAATTGTACATTCTTAGTTATTAAAAAATAAGCGACATTAAACCACATGTCCACTGCATGGTCTGAATCCATCAACACAATAAAAAAATGTGGTATTGGACTTTTGGAGGATTAAGGCAAATACATGCACACGTGGGGTTCATCAAATTTGTTAAATAATCCAATTATTCTCCAACTTGTCCATGTCAATGAAGAGAGACAAATACAGCAAATCTCTAACCTGTTGGAGTCTAGCACGAAGTGCGTCACATTCTCGGCTATGATTACGCACAGCCTCTTTGAAGCGGGAATCGACTTGGATCCTTTGAGATTTTTCTTGGGTCAGTTCAGCACGTAGTTCCTTCACTTTCTGAGAGGAGGACTGGGCAAGCAACATTTCTGGAGAATCACCAATGAATAGAAAGGAGTGAATTTCTAAGCGTCAATGGCTAAAAAACAGAACTGAAATGCTTGCTGTTTATTCACTGCACAGATAATGCACTTATCAAAATGATGAAAATACTTAGAGGCACTAGTGAGTAACTGTCTCAACTACTTTATTTAACTCATTTATATTATTTGAAAATACATGTACAAGATATAACTAAATGTAGGTTTAGGAGACTGCAACAAATACATGCAAATTGATTGTTACAAAAACCAGCTGGTTAACCCTAACGGCCCAATATCCATCAAACTCCAACAGCAGGTTTTGCTAGGTTTTGGCAGGTTTGGTACTCCACCCCATTAACTTCTTGTTGAATTTTGTTGGACTTGGTATCAAAGGCCCAGGGCGATGGTGTTGGATTCTGTGTGAGTTGGGACACACAGGGGTCACGGTGTGCAGTGTCTGGCTTGCTGTACCAATTGTTGGACTATGCTTGATTTTGTCAGGTTTGGTACTGCTGCAGTGCAAGTCATCCTATACTGCACAGACCCATCCATACCATATCAAACTCCAACAAAGTCACATTGTTGGAGTTTATTAGGTTTGGTACAGTAACCTGCATAGACAAGTACAAAGACAAGTACTCGCTAGTGCAAGAGCCTAGGAGGGTTAGTGTTAAGGAGAGACAAAATCTCACCATTGTGTAAGGCCTGTTCCTTCTCCTGGAGTTGTTTTTTCATGGCTTGAACTGGATCACGCTGGTTGGCCTGCCAATTAATGATTAAATAGCACATTTTAGATCACATTTGCATCAGAAGGAAAGTATAATCCTGTCTTACTCTGGTTAAAACAGAGAGGTCTACAATCTCTTTGATAATACCATACTGGACACATTTTCATGTACATGAAACTTACATGTACCTTTGGTGTATACCATGTTCTAAAACACAGATGTATTCGTCCTTACCACTTACCGTAGGTCAATTTAGACATCCCATTATCAGTTCCTATGGTATTATGGTACAGGAAAATAAAGGCAGACTTTTCTTCTGACTTTCTCAACCACTGTATACAACGAACTATTTAAAATCTCCATTCATGCTGGAATACCTAAAATGCATACAACTTAACCTTTTGTTCTTGTGTTCTTTGATAATTGTAAATTATTGAAAACGTCGCGCCGCTTGCTAAGACAGGACTAGCTTAGAATCTTCCAGGACCCACCTTGACCCAGTTTTCCGATGCAGCAGCTGACCCACCATTTTTGTTGAGAAGCACCTCAACAAGTTGCTGCACTTCCTTGTTAGACAGAGTTGCTGTCTTTAGCATGGCGCTAAGATTCTTGGCCTTCAAGGCTCCAGTGTCAACAGCTGGTTAAATATTTGGGGAAAACACAGAATTTTGGTCATAATTACTTGAGTACATGTACATGTATATAGAAAACATCTTTTGAACAGAAGCAAAACATCTATAAAAGCAAAAAAGCATTTGTTGGGTCTGCTTTTTTCCTTCAAGACAAGAAATTGTTCTCAATCCCCTTCCATTATATATTATAGTACATACTGCACATGTACATGTACAAGCAAGTTGATTTTATGACATGTAGCAAGACTGATTGAACAATCTACTATCAGTACAATGTTCTATTCATTCTTTGATTATGTCCAAAACCTTGAACTCTTCAACCTGGTTTTCATTAGAGCTTGATGAAGGTACTACATGTAGGCTTAATTTCTAAAGAAATCTGTGAATCTAACCACATCTGACCCCTTTCTTATTGAAGTTAAAGTTTCAATATATGCATATACATGTACTACATGTACGTACATGTATATGCCACATGAAACATACATGTACATGTATTTATGTACCGTACCATACCGTACATGCTGCATGACCACATCACTACTGTATGTAGTGTAATACATTATTTAATGGCGAAAGATCAAATACAAACAAAAATATTTCCTTTAAACTTTTCTCAACATGTACACCGTACATGTACACTGGCAACACTAAAACTACAATATGGAAAAGTAGAAGCAAATATCATAAAAGTTACCCTGTCTTAACTTTTAATTGCTACATACATGTACCGGTACATACATTACAGTATAATGCTATAAACATTCGGCAAAATACATGTACATGTAAAAAGAAAATAAAATTAACCCAAAATGCAACAAAACAGAATGCCAAACATACGAACAAAAAAGCAAAAGCAATTCATAAGGAACCAAATGAAAAAGGTTAACTCATTGCACACAAAGGATAATACATGTACCTTTTCTGTTTTATTAACCTCTTCCTGTATTACAGCCAAACCCTAGGCTCTAGACATGATAGATGCATGGACGTACCGGTATGCACATCAATGCATAAAAAGTCTGTGTACCTGCCGGTCCAGTGACATTAAATAAACAGTGTACATGTACTTGCAAAAACACGTACATGTACATGCAAAAACAGGAAACACTGATTTGGTTTGCTTTTCTGGAAGTGGAACCGCAGAGCCTTCTCAAATTCTTTTTTTGTTGTTTTTTATTTATTTTCATCAGCAGTTTTCTAATTTTCAGAACATGTGAATGTTCATGTGGCAAACTCCAAGAACGTGCACTTATCATATCCATGGCAGAGGCCATGTACATGTACATGTACATCAACATTACACAGTGTGGCCTTTATTTGCAAGTAAAGCCGTGTTCCCATTGGACTTTTTCTTCCGTGGGCTCACGGAAACTTACCACAACCTTCTTTTGTGTCATTCTACCACTCATTCTCACGTGGACTTTTCTTAATTGTAACGGAATGTTTATTCGCTGTGTTGGCCTAATAGAACCAGCTGATAATACCGGTAAATTGCCTGCCCTGTACAAATCATAACAAAATCGGCAAAATCTGACAAAAACAAAGACAAAATCAGACGAATTCGGCCGTACAGAAAAAGCCCCGTACACAATGTGTGTATCCACATGTACATGTATAGCTTTATCAAGGCACGCTTCACTGTTGTGCAACATGCTGCTGTACTGTACATGTACGAGCGGAGCTGGAGACTGGGAACCATACAACCATTTTCGCATGCCTGCTACATGTATCTAAATTATCTCTGTGTAGGCAATGGTCTAGTTTGTATGTTTAGTGTGGTCGTGGTCAATGGAATTATTTACATTGGACTTTTTTGCGCCCCTGGTAACTTACCGAGGCTATGAGGAAATCTTCCACGAACCTTTTCGACCTGTTAATTTTAGCTTACCATGTGTTCCCATTGGATTTAATTTTGTAATTCAACAGAAAGGTCACATTAAAGCCATGTTCCCATTGGACTTTTTTTGGTTAAATTACCGTGGCTGTGCGGTAGAATTACAAAATTAAATCCAATGGGAACACACGGTAGATTGACATTCCTGTTAAGTTACATGTACATGTACCTAACTAACTAACAGGCCGAAGGATGTCACGGAAGATTTCCATGCAGGCACGGTAAGTTAACAGGGACGCAAAAAAGTCCAATGGGGACACGGCTTAATCTGGTACTCTAACCCTCAATGGGCTAAATCTATTGATGTTAATATACATGTACATGTACAGTCCACGTAATTTTACACACACTCTACATGGTTGGCTCAGAGCAGGAATACTGGAAAGTACAGTACGTGTACCATGAATACATGTACATGTACCATAATGTTAAGGTTTTGAATTCTGTTACTCCCAACTACAAAGACATACAAAAAATGTAGTGGATGGGAAATACCAACACAATCCTATGCACACAAAAGACAGTGTAAAAACTCTGTTAAAAAGTCTGCTGGTCGACCCATTTTACTGGAACTATTCTGGTTGAACAGGAAGAGTGACCTTTGTCTCAAAGGTCACTCATGTACTATGTACATACATGCATACATGTACACTGTACATCTACTGTGCATCTACTGTGCTCACTCAGTTTCCATACCTTGACAGGCTGTATATGGTAGCTATTGGTACTTGTAGTATTATTTTTAGCCATTGAGAAGCAGTCTCAACCAAGCATGCAGGATGCACAAATGTTTGTGTTTAAACCAACTCAGTGGATCATGTACATGATGAGTACAGTAGGCCTACACACTTACCAGTATGTCAAGGCACTCTTTACCATACATGTACTTTGCATATTCATGAATCTGTTGAATTGTAAAAACGTTTGAAATGAACATGTACATATGTATACATGTATGTAGGTACACGTACGTATGATCTACCATACTAAGAAAACTTGTTTTAAAATTAAGTTCTTAGGGGTTTGTTAAAACAGCAGACATGGATAATGTGATACACTGAAACCTCTAATGGGAGTTTAAAGTTTAGATACAACTGATCCACACGGAAGTACAGTACGTGTACACATGTACCAGTAGGTCTACAAACTACACTACTTGAAAACCTATTGAACATGCTAGACTTTATACAAACAACAGTAACCACAGCTTTTGGTTTACAAAGCTGGCAACAAGGCAGTTCAGTCATGTCAGTTAAAATAATGGTATGCTCCTCATGAAAACATTTTCATGTACATGTACAATTGAACAGTACTTGGGAAATACATGTACTGGTACATTGTAGAACTGTATTACATGCATACATGTACAAGACTGTAATTATCACAATTCCCATTTCTGCCCTGTGGGAGTACCGGTTCAAGTATCATCAGGTACACGTATTCTCCTAAACAATTATTCTGTAAGGACAGCTTGAAGGGGAAGGGGAGAGGAGGGGAGTGGATCATCAAACAGGAACAATATGTCATAAGTCAGGGCCTGTCATGGACACGGGTACATGTACATGTACATGTAAAGAAACCAACATGCACTGTACATGTACATGTATATATGCACCTGTACATGTACCACGCTCCACAATTTACTGATTGCCCTAGTCTTGCGCATTTATCATACATGTAAATCATTCAGGATTCAGGTAATGTTTGATATTGCAGTTCACACAACGGTAACATATGGTACACTGAAGCCTGCTAAGCACTGTATGTGTAGACTGAGACAACAGGGGTCATACTGCCTCAGAGCATGTTTGCACAAATGTTATTAATTATTCTATGACCATGGGTGCCATAGTCAAAAAGTGTTAAAAATATCTGGTCATTTTATTACAGAAATAAAATTACATACAAAACAAGCGTATGGTATGTCATTCTAGGCTGAGCATATTGATTATTCAAAATAGCAGAGGAGATAAGCTAAGTGCTCATTATTCATGCACTTTTTTCCTTAAAATTCTCATCACCTTGTGGTACTTGTGCCGGGATTACGAGAGTACATGTACATGTAAGTTCCAGCAATACTTTTCAATAGTTACTCAAACCTGGACTATAGGCCTAAATGTTGATGCGTGCTCACATACATGTTAATCCAGAGACAAGTTTTTATAATAAAAGACCAACATTGGTCAACAGGAGTCGTTTACATGTAGACATTCACATGCAGATATCCAATACTCAAACATCAATGGCACAAGTGAAAGTGTATAGGGAAAACCCCTCACACATGGATAGGGGAATGATACGCATACTGTACATGGACATGTACCACTACATGTATGTACATGTACCAGTATTTAATATTAAAAGACATTACATGTACATGTAAGCATTTCAAGTCATACATGTACATGTATGCCTACCCTCTATATAGCGGTATTACCATAGTGCACTGTGCTTTCAACCTTGGCTCTCCCTATGAAATACATGTGTCAGTGACCAAAGGAGCCTGCCCAATAGAATTCTGTCCAACTACGGAAGAGTGACTCTCTCATAAATTGCAGTTCTGCCAACACACTGCACATCATGGATATCATATCCAATGAAATTAAACCTACATGTATCCCCAAACCAGAAAGGTACATGTACTTATACCCAACAGTGAATACATATTG